ATAGCAGATGAAATCAAAGGTCAGCACACAGTGATCGCCCTGTCCCACTAGGGCGTTAATTGTTATCTGATCAACGAAGTGTCTTTCGTTGGTGATGACCAAATGGAGGAGAGATGGCAGTTAGCCTGCGCGGTATCTGATGGGTGCAACAACATGTTGAGTCAAAGCGCTCTGTTGAACGACGTCAGTCAGCGCCGCTGTGAATAGTCCGCCTGATTCGACGCGCTGGAGCTTTATCCAGGAGGCATTTGTGGCGTTGAAGTCCCCTAAGCAGGAGATTTTTGGAGCGGTATTTGGAGGAGAGTTGCTCAAGGGTTTGTACGAGGAACTGGTCATCTTCATGGGGTCTCAAGGGCTTCGGTGGACCACACCGAGAATGAAAGATCCGGACTCGCGCGGCGAGAGTTGGACCCACGGTGTATGGAAAATGGTGCAGGGGTTGTGACAGAGATGACAATCGAGATTGGTAGGGCCGCATGTTAGTACAGAGCGAACCCACCAGCCCCCTCGTTTTGAGTCGGCTCAAAAAATAGAGTAACCGTCTATCGAGATCTGCGCGTCAGAGACATCTGGTGTGAGCCAGGTTTCTGTGAGTGCAATTATGGGCGGTTGTTCTAGGCAAGCTGACGGTTTAACATCGCCGTTTGTTGAAAAGGCTGAGGCAGTTTGTGGACAAGCATTTCAACACTGTCTCTGCTGCCTCCGAGGGTGAGGAGCCGAAAGTTGAGTGACCAGGGTGGTTAGCAGACCTAATGGTTGATCGCCGGTTTGGGTTCAAGGCTCCGAAGGGGCCTCTGGGGCGATATCGTCTGCTTCCCGTCATCGTGGTTTCTGGGGGTGCCTTTCGCTTGCGAGGTTTTTTCGTTCCGTGGGAGCCCGGTTTTTCTCGGGCCTTTTGGCTTTAAGGAAGGAGTTTTTCCCCGTGGTTGAAGATTTCGACCATTGCTGTTTGTAACTCTTCAGCCCCCCTTTTGGCGACCAGATTTGCTGTTGATGAAAGATTTGCGGCAAGCTTTCGTCTTCTTGGATGCTTGGGTGTTTTGGCGTGGTTTGGCCGGAAAAGTCTCTCTGTGGGTCCCTGAGCTCTAGGTGGCGGCACTAAGAGGTAATGATTTTGGTGGCACTCCTAAGAGGCTCGTTTTCGCTGAGGACTGCACCTTGGAGCCAACCAGCAGTTTTCTAATCTGGCGATTTTTATTTGGCTTGTTTGGTTGCAGTCGCTCTTCTTTCGTGTTTGTGTGGACATCCGATCCGCCAGCAATCAGCTTGGCCAACTGGATGTACGATGTAACGGATGGCTGTAGTCATGTTCACGGCTTTGGTTTTCGAGGTCTTGGGCGATGGTTGTGTCCACAAGCGGAGAGACCGCTTTTGACGGAGTGGAGCTGGAGCTTGGACGCGCTGCTTGTCCCCACACATCTGACTCAGTCCAGTGCAGAGGCTGTGGCTTTGTTGAGGAGTGCATGGCTGCAGCTGTTTTGTCTGTTATGGAGATAAGCGTTGATAGCTCCACGTACTTTGGGCACTGCTTGCATATGAGTTTTGCCTTCTCCAGGGCATCACTGCCTTTGGTGGGCGAGAGGCCTGTGGTGATCGAATAAAAACTGCTGTCCGGAGACGCAGCTGGTTTTGTCGGCCTGCTTTCGGGTGCACGAGGTGGCATAACCACAATCCGCTTGGTCATGAGTTTGGGGTCAACTGAATTGGTAACCAGCGGAAGCCTGTCTGTTGCCTCCGCCCCTGACCCGCTGTGACAAAGCTTTCGCGCGTCTAGAGAGCGATCCTCAAATAGACGACTGATCATTGGGTTGGCCTTTTGAATGCTGCCAGCCCGCTCCAAGATCTCCTGCACGTCAGGGGGAAGAAAGAGCGACTAGAAGTCCAAGAGTTCGCTTGCTTCTCTTCTGGCGTAACCATTCTGCGTAAAGCGATTGATCAGGCTTGGTGAGGACATTGCTAAGGGTCGATTGTGCCAGCTTCGCTGGCGTGATTTTTCCGGAGAACGACCCCCCAGATTATCAATCTGTTTTCCCTTAGGCACCTGTCCACTAGAGACGCTGTGGCGGTCTTTATAGCCGCGTCAGAGAGTTGTATGACTTTCTTCGCAGCCAGAGGACCCGGTATGGATATCGCGAGATACTCGTTCGGCGAAGAAAGTTCCTTGTCAACTTTCGTCCAAGTCGCTGCATTCTTAGTGTCTGAATCCTCCAGTGCCTTAGAAAGGCGCTCCAATTTCGCGTCGAGTATCCCGATCAAAGTGGAACACTCACATCGGTCTTTCTGAATCTGCAGTGGGGATTGGGTACCGTTTTTGGGGGTTCTCTTCTTGGCTGCGGAATGCATTGCACCCTTAACGTAGAGGCAGCTGGCGCAGACAGACGGTTCAGGAGAGTTAGCTAGTCGGCTTACCTGGTCGTCCTCTAAACCCGTGCATTTGAAATGCCACCAGGCCTTGCAGGCGTGGCATTGCATACCGCGCTTGACGTTCGACGGGCAGCCATTTCGTCCACATCTGTTGTGGTCTAAAACGTTCACGAGGGAAAAACGAAACTGATTTCAAATGTACCGCGCGACTATGATGGGATTGATTTCCCTGAATCTACGGCATTTTCAGGCTCACTACTTCATAGTGTTAAAGGTCTATGTATAATGTATATGTTCTTATATTTTTGGAAATCATTTACTATGGCGATTTGTACAAGTGGGCGAATGCTCAAGGTCAATATACACCACCGACTGTGAATACGTTGCCTGGTGATAGAAAAACGCGGATTGTGGAAACCATTGACTCACTTACAATGAACGAAACTTTCAGATAGTTTTCCACTGGAAAAAATTCTCTGAATATCCCGGAATCTAAATGGCCTTTGGAGATGCAAAATATGCGTAGGTGCAGTCGTGCAAACAAATTTTGGTCAATGATTCGTGTTGCCAGTCAAAATTCCGTGGCCCACGTCAATTATTTATTAAAAGTCGTGCACGTTTGCTGGCAACAAGCAGAGTTTTCCATTATAGGTTGCGAATTATGCTAGGTAGACCTCGAGGTTTATAGATCAGGAACATGGAACATACGTCGATCACACCGGACAGCTTGACGAATAATAACTGACGCACACGACTTGCGCGCGGCTAGGGGTACACGATGTCGAAGCGCATTCATTAGCAGGCTGCGGCAGGTCGTCAGTTGCAGACTTTGAGCCGTGACACAGCAGGATATGTCCCTGAACAACCAATCGCTTGAAGGTGGCTGCGGCCGTTCCTGGTTCACTCGGTTTAGTTGTTTACGAAGGGCGACGAAAGCTTTTGGCAGTGGTTTGGGAACAAGTGTAAGGGATACATCTTTTTCCGATAGGTTGTAATTCGACAGCCATCGTTGGTGAACTGAGAAGCAATCTAAGAAAAAGTCAATGATGAATAGTTCTTGCTGCCCGGCACGGACTGATCTCGAAATACAGAGAACAGGTGTGTGCAGGGAGCCACAGCACCTGGTAGGAAGGGCACGTACATTCTCCAGCAGAGGTGTCGACAGTCTGGTAGCATCTGGGTGTTTGAACCACTACCTATAAGTTAAATCGCGTAGCTCGTCCCCACCTTATTTGTACTAACACAATTATACGGTAGACGCGGCGGTCGCGGACCCAAGTGCCTCAAAACGAGAGAGCATGCATATGTCGTCATTCGACAGGCCGCGTTTAGAACGTATGCGTCACCCTCCATGATTTGCCACCTGTCTCATTGGTACGACGTATGCATCTCGAACTCCCGCATAAGCCACTTGGCGTGCCGAGACACCTTTTGAATTTTATGCTCCATCGTGTTGGAGTGATGCACCCGGTCTTTAAGGCGGTCGTTCGCATTCTTCAATCGGTTGTTGGCCACATTGCCAAAATCAAACTTTCCGGACTGTGCATGTATGGCCCATTTTTGGGAGACGTAAAAACGGCGGATCGTGAGGTAGGAAACGAATCGTGGATCGGTGCGGCGCCGAAGCTGCATGTCTTGCCGGAATTCGTGTGCTTGTAATACGACGGAAAAAACCTACTGCACAGCGTTGTCCGGGCGAGTCATGCGGTGAAATATGTGCCGGCTATTCGCAGAATGTGTCTATGACCAAAAATACATGGACATTAAATGATACATACGTGCTTCCTGATAGTGTGCCGACGTGAAGTTAGCAGAGCATAACACAACCCTTACTGCACGCATCTGCGCCGCCAACTTGTCCACTACAAAGGTCTTAACCGGATAGGTTTCGCCCATCGTTTCTTTGAATAAGTCGAACAGGTTACGCATAGGAGCAAACTGCTCGCTCTCTACGAATGCATACATAACCAGACACCCGGTTCCCGTGCCATCCGTTATCAAGAAAGTGCACATTTTGTTTCTATGTGCCGAATATTAGACAC